GTTGTCATGGGGTGCTTAAAGGTGAAGGTGCAGAGAAATCTCACAGTCACCTTTCCTTATGATGGTACAGCACCCTTGGGGCATGGAACAGGCATCCCACTGAGTGCCAGTGGTGCAAATGGCCCTATTTGACAGAGCCAAAAAGCCTCCCAGGACAGGAGAGTCGGTTCTTAACATACAATGGAAGACGTGGCACTAAATATTGAAGGGAGGAGGAACAGAAGGAAGGCTCCATTGTAGCTCTTCTCAGTGTAGCAGTGCTTTGTCAGTGCTGCAGCTGTTTCTGCTTTCCCTGAGTTTGCTTTGTGACTCTAGACCTGTGCTGACATAATGAGGGTGATATCTTAGCATCCGTTAAAAAAAACAGAACAGGCTGAGCAGCTATGTTAGCTTTCTCCTCTCCAACATAAATTCCTTCCTGTCTCAATTTATCTTCCCAGTTTTACATTGGTCCTGATGCTGCCCGTGCTTAATACTAACCAGGTCCTCTGTTTAAGCAGGGTTTACTGACAAGTGAAACAGAGACTTGATTGATGATGTGGCTTAAGTTCGGGTAATTTGTGGTAGAGAGAGAAATGGGAAAGGAACAGTTGGGATGAGCGATAGCCTCTGACCAAACACTGAACATTGGTTGCGAATGTCCTGCTTACATTTGCATCAGGCTTGTGAGTCCTTTTCTGAAAATGCTTGCCTTGTGCCGCTTCTCAGTGATTTCCCCCCTGCCCCGCTCCGCCCATATTGTGGGTTGACTTCCCCATTGTTACCTTGTACCAACTCTGCCTTTGGCGCCAGGTTAAGACAACCCTCGGTGGTTAGGCATTTTAAAGTATGTAAGTTTATCCAATAGTTTGATGTGGGTACTCATTTCTGATGTTTTTAACAAATACTGTTTTAGCTGCTAAATTGTTTTAATTTTTAAAGCTGTTTTAAAATGTTGTGTTGTGGGAAGTTTTGTAGTTCTTATTGCATCACAATCCGTCCTGTTTAGGAAGAGCTTTCAACCACCTAGACTTCAGCTATTAGGTGGTATCAAGGTTAACAAAATAAATTAATGGTAATTGTTAAACAAAAAAAAGATAAACTTTGTAATCTTAGTGGAATTAGGAAAGTCAGATCACCTTCAAGATAAAAGCCTAATCCATTTCATAAATAGTGTGCTTTCCTTGCAGGATTTCTACAAGCAAGAATGTATTTTTATTTTTAAAAAGCAATCATTGAACAGATATCAAACTTAACTGTACTTTCCATTCTCCAAGATCTCCAATATCATAACTATAAGATGGAGGAGTAGTATATCATTTAAAGGTACCCACCACATGAATATTCTCTTGCTATAGATACCTAGCTAAAATGTAGTGTTCTCTTACTTACACTATCCACCATATTTGTTTGTGATCAGTAGTAGCCTTTTGTGCTGTAGTTGTGATTTGATCTTTCTTAGTGGGTCCACTTGGAATTATAGCCCAATGCTATCCATGCTTACCTGTAAGTAACACCATCTGAATGCAACAGCTGACTGAGGAAATGACTGCAATGTACCAGTCTTTTGAACCAAAGTGTTTCATTTACAAGCCAGAATCACTGAGCTTTAAAAAATGTATTTATCGCCTGCAATCAAATCAATTGCATTGTGTTCAGCCAAGTGGATCTCTTAGTCCTAACCAAAAGGGTTTGGTGTATGAAGACTCTCCTGCTTTCCCAATGGAACACGGGGCTCAAGGACTGAGCTGCATACATTCAGCTCAGTGGCTTTCCCACTTAACCTCCTCAGAAGAGAAGGGAAGGGAAAGCTCAGATACATTCACCTCTCGCATGATGACTCCGCTGTGTACACATTATTATTTAGTGGATTGAGGTCTAATGTATACCTACCCGCTGGACACAGTGGAATAACTCTTGAGAAATCATGTAGGATTGTGCTGCTAGTCATTCATAAATAGCTAATGTGTTACACTAGGTGTTGTGTAATAAAAGAAAACAGGTCCCTGCTTAGAGCTTATATTGTACAGAAAGTAAATGGCAAAGGCAGCTTAGTGCCTATAAGGGATGGCATAAAATGAACGGGAAAAGCTGCTTGTGCAGGAATCTCATGCGCAAAACTGGAGGGAAGCTGGGCAGACTAAGAACAGGAACCTGATTTGGAGGTTACTTTGTACCATAGTTTAGCATCATGAGAACAAGCCACAGGAACCTTCTGTCTCATCTGATTTCTCCCTGCACAGCAATAGGAGAGCATTGAATACTTTTGCTTTAAGTTAACTACAGCTTGCTGTATCATCCGAACCCAACAAACTGTGGTTAACCTTAACTATCATTGGATGAAACAGAATAAATTGAAACCACAGGTTAAACAAACTGGTTACTGGCCTTAGCTAAGGGTTCAGAAGCACACTGAGCTGTGTTCAATGGAAATTAAAGCAACAGCTTCCAAATTCTTCTTTCCAGGTATGTGGAAGGGGAGCGGGCATCAAGTCCAAGGCTCACTGTGGCTTGTTCTAGTCATGCTAAACTGCAGTTTGGTGTACCAACTAAACATAGCCTGTAAGTTAGAACACCCTGGTGATTTCTAGGTATTTTTGCTTTTTCAGACTTTTGTTGGAGAAGAGCTGAGAAATTACTGTTTTCTGTCAATTCCATTATTCTGTCAAAGGGTCTCTACCTTGAAAGGTGGACAACAACACATTTGATATAGATTTACAAAGAATAGGTCTGCTAAATAACAGCCCTAGGAAGCAAAGGAAGGGGCATCCTTATTTGAGAGTGCAGTGCAAACTTGGTTCTTGCAAGAAAAGGCTCCAAATTCATGTCACCTCTGTAAGCAGAGTAACAAGAAAGGCTGTTTCTTTTCCTCCTCGTTCCACTCTGTCTTCCATTCAAGTCTTTTTGAGTCCATTTCTTGGGTAGTTGGAAATGGAAATAGAATTTCCTGCACATAAACATGTGTTTGATTTTGAGTGGTGACGTTGATATTCATATAATGTTCATAAGATAGTTATTTCTCTCTTTACTGTCGCTCAGATTGCGCTTGTACATACAAGCACGGCCATTGCATGGCTCATTGGTGCAAGTTGCATGTGCCGGTATCTATGGCACATGGACACACACTGCAGGCAGAGTTGAGCACAAAGCTGCGTGCTATTGCAGGCTGAAGCTCTCGATTTGAAGCATAAATGAAATTAATCCGAGAGAACAGAGTGGTCCTGTCTTTTATCCCTTTCATGATGACTTTTTATGGAGGAAACCTCCTGCATACCATCCTCACAACATGAGAGAGATGCTTGCATTGGAAGATGAGAGAAAATACATCTCTAGGACTAAACTGGGTCCATGGGTAGGTATGCCCAAATTAAGACAAAGTGGGTGGATTCTCTGCTTTGGGGTCCCTGAAGTCAGTTTCTGGAACTGAGAGCTTGAGCAGAAGCCAAGAACTGGAGCCTTAAGCATGGTGGGCAGAATTGGGCTCCCTTGACAGGGCAAGGCCAAGCTCCTAGCAGTTCACACCAACTCTGGCCAATGCAGAGGTGCTGTATTCACTGCTGGAGAATACATCCTTTCCCCCTCTGTGCCTGAGAAGAGCACTATTTCTTAAAGGCATACAAACCCAGGAAGCACATGACACTCCTTCCCATCCTATCTTGCGGGGAAAAATGTTCTGTGAAGTCTCTGGTTTGCCTGGCTATGGAACCTTGGACTGGGTCACAAGCAGTTATGTCTGTCTCATAGAATCATACAGTTGAGCCTAGAAGGCCATCTGTTCCAAGCCCCTGATCAATGCAGGACTCAAGTCTCCCATCCAAATACTAACCAGGCCTAGATCTGCTTAGCTTCCAAGATTAGGCAGGATCAGGCACTTCAGGCAATATGAAAGGAAGAAAACATGGATGCAGGACCCCTCCCCCCCAGAATGCAGAACTGATGGGGCACACCATGCTGCCTAATCTGGCATGCAAAGCTTGCTGAGGTTCCTCCAGTGGTTAGAGCTTGGCTTGTGACATCCTAGGACAGTGGTGGCAAACCTATGGCACGTGTGCCACATGGGCACGCAGAGCCCTCTCTGTCGGCATGTGAGCCAAGTCGCTCCAGCATCACCCCAGCAGCCAAGCATCGGATAACAGTGCACACAGGGGCCATGCGCATGCTCAGAAAGGACTAGCGGCGCCAGGCAATGGCGTCATGAGCCGCAACTCATTAGCCATGACTTGTCTGAGCTTTTGCATGGTCGTTCAGTGTGCTGCCAAGTGTGTGTGTGTGTGTGTGTGTGTGTGTATTTGCTTGGACTGGCTGTGAGTTTTAATGCATTCATTTTTATTAACACAAGATTTTAGCTTTGAGTTTTCTTAAGAAAAATTGAAATTTAATATCTAAGATTTAGCAAAGAGATGTTCTAATTAAGAGACTGAGATGCTTTTAATGTTGTGCTGTCCCCCTGGTATGTTTGAATCAACAATGTTGGCACTTTGCAATAAATAAGTTGGTTTGGGGTTGCAATTTGGGCACTCGGTCTCTAAAAGGTTCACCATCCCTGTCCTAGGACATTCTGAGGGGCTTGTGGGGAACAATCCACCACCACTAAGAATATATTCTGTCTGCTGCTCTGAAATATGTTGTTGCATACAAAGCATATTGGTCTGCAGCTTTACGCATTGATGGTAGCACTACAGAAATTTAGCTGTACTCTTCATTCGCATTTTAAATAGGGCCAACTGCATGAATATGCATATATTCAAAGAGGGTAGGCTTCTCAGAATTGAAGCACTTTGGGGTGATTATTCCCTGAGAATGGTTAATGAACTTTGTTTGCCACAGTCACTTAAAAGAAAAAAAAATCTCTCCAGACAGACAGTAGGTAGGCCAAGGTAGAAAGCTGCATTCAAAGAATCATTTTTCAAAGGTACTTGAAAGGATGAGACATCTTCTCTAGCTTGCTGCTAAGGATTACAAAAAGTACTTTTTGCAAAGTTGAGGAACTTGTCACCGATTCTCACTTTAAGGATTCCTTTGGCAGAATGCTTGTCCAGGTGTGCCTCTACTTCTACTGCAAATGCTTGTGGCGCTGCCTGAAATTTGTGGTGAGGAAACTGACAGGACGGTGTGAACTGCAAAGGATCTGCTACAATATCAAACCTGGAGCTGCCAGAACTATGAAAATTGGTAAGCTTAAATAAAAACAACTTTGGAGCTTGCTTCAGTTGTGTTCTGGGTATTCCTCCCTTTCTTTGTAAGTATAGGGGAGTCTGCTATTTGGCTTTAAATTAGTTTAAACATTTAGCTTACATTCAGAATGTTTTCTTGTGCAGAATGTTACCCGTCTAATTAATAAAAAATGTATTTTACCTGACCGGAGACTAGCGATGTGTGGAGAATCTGCTTTGGTGGTGGGAATCTGTGGGATTTCCTTGGCTTGGGTCCCCCAGCTTTGGGCGGCTTTCTCACCCAAGTCCACCTCATGCTGAGTTTTTGCATGGACATTCAGTAGGAAGCGAGTCCAAGCATGTCCATGAAGCTTTCCTTGCCTGGATTTTTACAAGCAAGGAAATGGGGTGGGGGGGTGTGTAGCACATGAGCATTTTAAACCATATTCCTGCTGTCCAGAGCTCTTCTTCAGCCCTCATGACTTGCAGGCTTTTATACCTTGGACAAAGAAGCTGCTAGTTTTACCAAACATTAACGGACTTGATCTCAGCTCTGTTCGCTTCCTGACTCAGGCCAAGTACCGGAAGGTACAAGAGAGGGCACAAAAGTGGCAGATTCCTACTGGATCTTCACATCCCAACAAACAGTTAATTTTTCATTCTACTGATGCAAGAACTCTCTGTGTATCATGTCCACTTGTTTTATCGTTCTCTTCTTCCACTTGTTATCATTTTAGATCATATTATATTAATTATACACTATTTTTATGGAGTTGCATTTTTGCTACATTGTTGAAAATGCTAAAATCTAATGAACTTTAAGTTTCCAATGTGTTTTCTTAACAGAAACATCATTGAGGAATTCGAAAAATAAGGTATTACTACTACTACTCTTACTGCTATGATTTGCATTTATATTCTGCCTTTTTTCCCTCTTGTGAGGAACCCAAAGTGGCTTATACAGTTCCATTTTATCTTCACAACAATAATCCTGTGAGGTAAATTGGACTGCGTATCCATGACTAGGCCAAAGACACCCAGTGAGCTTCATGCCTGAACAAGGACAAGAACCTGGATCTCCCAGCTGCCTAGACCAATGTAATAATCACCACACCATGTTGCCTTGGTGGAAACCTAACTTTCCATGCTATGTTTTCCTCTTTTCCCAGTTCATTAGCAGTTTATCCAATGTTGTAATAAGATTTCCCACAGTTTTGCTAGCTTACTTATTTATCACGGTGCTAGCTTCTTATGGTGAATCATGCCTGAATACACCGAAGGAGCCAGTAAGCCGGGATGTGAGGAAGGCAGTCCTCTGGCTGCATTGACCAAGTCAAAGCTGTGTGATGCCTTGAAGAATTCCAGGTTCAAATCCCTGCTTGACATCTGTGGATAACTTTTGGCAAGCTACGGTCTTTCACCCCAGTCTTCCTCAGAGGACTGCTGTGATGTATCACTCAGGTGGTAATTTGCAGAATACTTTCCATGATGAACAAACACTATGAAAGTGAACTGTAGTAATAGGCTTTATCAGACATGGCATATGCCAGGGTAATCACACAGAATAATCCAGTAAAAATATACATAAATACATACATACGTGTGTGTGTGTGTGTGTATAAAAAAACTTTTGTATGCCATCCCTTATGCATAGCATCTCAGGATGGCTTACAATCATTAAAAATATAAGGACCGCTTAGAGATAAGGTATTGTTAAGTGCTTCTAGAATAGGTCTTAGCAAGTCAGATACATTTTCAGCCTTTGCCAAGTTTACTTTTCCTAGTGATGCCTTTGTGAAGTAGGCGGCTACCAATTTCGTTTGGCTGATGGGAGCTGAGGCCGCCAAACAGTGACTAGCAGTGTTCCACCTGTTGCCTATGCACCTGCTTGCAGAGACGCAATATTAGCTTATTGATGGGGTTGGCAATTTTTATTTAAGTATTTATTTAAGCTTTTACTTACTTTCCTTTAGCAAAAGTTCTCAGAATGGTTTACATAGAAAGGTGACAGTAATTCATGCGTGCATATATAGAATCCCAGGTCTGGGATGTTATTCCTCCACCTCACTTAAATCCAGTCATGTCTGTTACATTTCACTTTCAATGGGAGTAACTGATATGACTATGGAATGCGCTCCCTAGAGAGGTCCGCCTGGCACCAACATTATATGCTTTTCAGCGCCAGGTCAAGACCTTTTTATTTGACCAATATTTTAACATATAGTGATTTTAATTGTGTTAGATTTATTTAATTTATTTTAAATAGATTAATTTTATGCTCAGTGTGGAATAGTTAACTTATTTTATTTAGGATTGAAATATTGTTGTAAGCTGTCCGGAGACAACAGTAATGGACGGCCTACAAATTTTCTAAATAAATAAACAAATATGAGTTACATTCTTTTTTTCAGTTGCTCCAAAATTCAGTAAGTGTTCATCCAGATGCTATTGAAAAAACTATAGACGCCATCATGGAACTGAAAAAGATTAACCCGGATGTAAACCCACAGTAAGTTTGTTAATGTAGAAATAGCAATTGTGTGTGTTGTTTGTTTCTTTGTTTAATGTATTTGAAATCCACCCACTAGAATCACACTCTTTGGGCAGGCATGAGAGTTAGTTATTCTGTATATTCAAGTTATTTATAGTTGTTCTATATGTGTGTGTGTGTGTGTGTATATATGTGTGTGTGTGTATGTATATATATATGCATAAGCTTTGTTCTACATCTCTTTGGGGTTGTCTTTCTCATGTAGAATCTCAAGAGATATTTTGTGCACTTTTGATTCTTTAGTTGTGTTCTGCTCACAAATTGTGCTGCCCCGGCTAAGTACTTCCTCCATGGAATTGATTAATTGGCAATGGCTAAGCAATCTTTCCTATGTGACTTTTCTGAGTTTTGCTTATTTATGCTTTTTGTGTGCACCTGGTTCTTTGGTGTGCACATAGCAATCTAATGTGTGAATAGAGCCAATCCATTTTTGAATCATAAACTTGCATGCACCAAGAAGCCATGATGAACGTACACTCAATGACAAGCCCAGGATTGTGTCTGCTTAATGCCTGAAATGTCTCCTAGGGATAGAATTTGTCCAAATACAAAGGAGGACATCCCACAAATTAGAGATTGACTGTTGTCCTAGCAGGTATAGAAATGGGTAAGAGTATGTCTTGGAGAATCTATGATGCTCTATTACATTGTGATTCCTGCAGGATACACACAGACAATTCTGTGTGCATCTGAATTGTCAGAGGATAGCAGCCAGCAGACTGGAAGCTGAAAAATTGGCCCTCTTGCCAATTTTTCTCTATCTTTATAGTAACATTTACATTACTGGCTTCATGTTTGTGGCTGGCCCAGCCTCATCCAACCTGATACCCTTAAGATGTGTTGGACTAGAATTCCCATCACCCATGTGTTGGACTAGAATTCCCATCACCCCACAGCCTGCATAGCTATTGGTGCAGTTGCAAAATTGTATACTGCCGCGCTCTCCTTTCCCAGCATAATGCTCAGCTATTGCACGTAACCACTCCAGGTTTTTCTCAGGCCTTCTGAAAGGCAAGGCTTGCAGGGGAGCAGCAAATCTCAAAGCAGATTTTAAAATGGCACAGCCTTGGAGAGGTGGCATCGTTCTCTCCCTCCCTCCCTCCTGCAGTGTCACATCAAAGCTTCACTGCTCCTAGCTCAGCCAGAATAATACAAATGAAATAGAAAGTCAGATTTTTAAGCACAGCCTTCTGCTTTTCTCAGTGAATACATTTTCCATAGTGGAAGAGGATCCGCGTGTAGCACCACAGTGTGGTAATGCTAATCTTGCAAAGCCAAATGGCTAAGTGCAGTGTGTTATCTCACTGTTGTTTTGCTTGTCTTCTCACTCTAGGCTAGGTGTGTCTTTGCAGGCCTGCCTCCTACAGATCGTAGGGTACAGAAATTTGATCGCTGAGGTTGAAAAACTACGTAGAGAGCCCTATGATTCTGAGGATTCCCAGCATGAAGAAATGCTTCTGAAGGTAAGCAATGAAGTCACCTTTTCAAAGAGCTTTTTTGATTGCCATAGAGCATGGCTCCTCAAACTACGGCCCGCAGACCGGATCCGGCCCACCATGCCCATTTATCCGGCCCTCCTGAGAGGTTGTGGACTTGCTGTGCTCACGCCCCGCTGCGGCCCGCGTGCGCGGGGAGACAGTGGCTTGCTGCCGTGCGTGGCTGCGTGCTCCCCCACTGGCCCGCGTGCATCACCAGCACCGCCTCACTGGCCCGCGTGCACTGCTGGCACCGTTCAGCTGGCCCCCTGTTGAAAAAATGTGAGGACCCTTGCCATAGAGCGTTGATAAAAACCATGCACTCACAGTTCCACCAAAAGTTTCTCGTGTGGAAGGAAGCTTGGCGATCCTCTAATCCTTGCTCAAAGAAGTGCAAGATCCAAGTCTATTAGCATCCTGACTGAAGGTAGTCCAACCTCTCTGAATATCTCCAGCAAAAGCAAACTCACCACCTCTTGAGGCAACTTGTTCTCCTGTTGAGAAACTCATACCATTAAGATATTTCCTGTATTGAGAGATCAGTCTATTTACCTGAATTAGGTGGTGAATATCTGAAAGGAGTTGCAGTCTTTGGTTTTGTTTTTTGTTTGTGTGTTTGTTTGTTGTTTTTTTACTAACTTTGAGGCAGCCTTCAGTGGCTTTGGACTTGATTGCTGCAACGGTGCTGTTGGATGGGGATTTCACACACTCCGTTCCATTTTCTAGATCTAAATGCAAGCATCTTTATTTTTGGCAGCTTTGGGAATGATGATTTAAATCAGGAAAACAGTACAAGGGTTACAAAAGAAAAGGCACTTCACCCCTTGTTGGCCCTCTAAAAAAAAAGTGTGGTCGGGGCAACAAGGATAGTCCAGGGACTAGAAACAAAGTCCTGTGAGTGGAGACTGAAGGCGCTGGGCATGTTTAGCCTTGAGAAGAGAAGACTGAGAAAAGATAGGATATTGTTGCCCACCTTTCAAAGCGCTCCAGTTACAAGTGGTATAGAAATGAAATTAATAATAATAATAACTTTGTTGTTGTTAGTCGCGAAGTCGTGTCCGACCCTTCGCGACCCCATGGACAACATTCCTCCAGGCCTTCCTGTCCTCCACCGTTCCCCAGACCTTAAACTCAGGCCAACTGCCTCAGTGACTCCATCCAGTCACCTCATTCTCCACTGTCCCCTCCTTCTTCTGCCATCTATTGTTCCCAGCATTAGGCTCTTCTCCAGGGAGTCCTTCCTTCTCATTAGGTGGCCAAAGTATTTGAGTTTCATCTTCAGGATCTGGCCTTCTAAAGAGCAGTCAGGGTTGATCTCCTCTAGGACTGACCAGTTTGATCGCCTTGTGGTCCAAGGGACTTGCAGGAGTCTCCGCCAGCACCACAATTCAAAGGCCTCAATCCTTTTGCGCTCAGTCTTCCTTAGCGTTCACAGCTAATCATTGCACTGGGAAAACCATAGCCTATACGCACTTTTGTTGGCGGGGTGATGTCTCTGCTTTTTAGTATGCTGTCTAGATTTGCCATAGCTCTCCTCCCCAGGAGCAAGCATCTTTTAATTTCTTGACTGCAGTCCCCGTCTGCGATGATCTTGGAGCCCAGGAAAATAAAATCTGTCACTACCTCCATTTCTTCCTCATCTATTTGCCAGGAAGTGAGAGGACCGGATGACATGATCTTAGTTTTCTTAATGTTGAGTTTCAAGCCAACTTTTGCGCTCTCCTCCTTCACCCGCATCAAGAGGCTCTTTAGTTACTGTTTCTCTTCACTTTCTGCCATTAGAAATAATAATTAATAGCACTTTGCAAATGCGTGAAAGGTTGTCACACAGGAGGAGGCTAGGATCTCTTCTCAGTCATCCCAGAGCACAGGATGTGGAATAATGTGCTTAAGTAACAGGAGGCCAGATTCAAGCTGGACATCAGGAAAAACTTCCTGACTGTTAGAGCAGTACAGCAATGGAACCAATGACCTGGGGATGCTGTGGGCTCTCCCACAGTAGAGACAGCAAAGCATTAGCTTGCAGTCCTCCACTGAGCAGGGAGCTGAACTTAATGCCCTTATAGGCCCCTTCCAACCCTGCTATTCTGTGATTCTACATCCCTCTAACTCACTGTCTGGTTGTCTTTAAAGAGTTGGGCAAATTTTTATTTTTATTTATTTTATTAAAACATTTTTATGCCGCCCCATTCGCCGAAGCCTCGGGGCGGCTTACAACTTACACAATTCATGGGTGTCTGATGTATCAGCCTCTGTTACCTGCAGGCCTCTGTGGCCTGTTCTTTGTGTTTTTTCAGCTCATGAAAAGGTTCATTTATTGCCCTCAAATGCAAGTAGCAAACTGGAGACAGAGCTCTGGAGACAGATTCTGTCAAACTTGCCCCGATTTTGAGGTTCCTGGGTGGGTAAGATATCTGACTGGAAAGAAAATATTGGACCAAATGAAGCCAATCTTGATCTGATCCAACTCAGAAGCTTGCATGTTGCAAGCAGATCAAATACGATTTAAAACACTCATATTAAACCAAAAGCATAAACCTAACAATGAAACATTAAACTAAAAAAAATTAAGTCAAGTGAATTATGCACAGGATTTTTGCAAAGATGCTTATCGCATTTCTCTTAAGGAGTAAAACCATCCCAAGCCTTTACCTTTCCAGGATTCTAGCAGTCTGAGGCCTGTCCCTCAAGTCTGTCTGAGATCTCCAGTGCAGGTTCCTTTCTATTTTCCTCTTCTATTTGTTGTGCCCTTATGAATTTGACATCAGGGAAAATGATTCTCTCCAGCCTTGGGGAATCAAGGCAGCTTCTTCCCCTTGCACTTTGGAAGCGCTCTGCAATTTGCAACTAAATAAACTGCTTTGGGTTTGTGCAACACCAATGAATATGCAGTGAGTCCCCCTGTCAAGTGTTTTGTGCTATATCTGCTTCCAGCCAAGCAGGATTTCCCAGAAGCCATTTTTGAAATGTCTGCTGTGTCAGAGGAGTTTTTTTGCCTGATCTCTTTGGCACATTGCCCCAGGATCTTCTGAATGCTGGGCATAACAAGGAAAGTAAAGATTTCAGAAATGTCAGCCCACAGATGTCCCTTGTTGTAATGTACCTGTGACTTCCTCCCTCTCCCCTTCTGTAGCTATGGAAATCACTGAAACCCAATTCCCCATTGGAAGCTCGGATATCCAAGCAGTGGTGTGAAATTGGTTTCCAGGGTGATGATCCTAAAACAGACTTCAGAGGAATGGGCCTCCTGGGGTTATATAACTTGTTGTAAGTATACTTTGGTTCCTTTTAAAGGGAACAAATTATGTTTCCCTTGATACATTTCTGACTTGTAACAATTCTCGCAATGCTTGGAGACTTCCTACCTTATTTCATTCAGTTCCATCCATCTTGCTGAGGAATTAATCCTTTTTATGCACAAACTATTTCACATCCAATTAAAACAATATTTTGTATCTACTTAATAGTCATTTAAAAAGTCTACAGTATTTAACAAAAGTCTTCAGTCTCTTTTTATCTTTCCCTCATCTGCTCTTTGCATGACATGCTTATTTTGCCATTGATTGGTAATGCTGTAACTTCTGGAACAGTGCATGAACTACCAGAATTTTTCCTTGCTTCTGCTACATTCATAAGCCTCGATTTAGAGTATATTAAATATGAGCGCACCTCACACATCAAGGTCTGTATTATTGGAGGGGAGCGGCTCACAGCACCGCATGAAGATTATATGTCCAATTTAGGCTGCCACCCTAAATTCCCTACCAGGGATTAAGCAGACTTGTATAAGGTGGCACTGCTATTTCAGCTTGCATGAATTGGGACTCTGTTCCTGAGATGGGGGGAATGCACCTGCAGCTGTTTTGAGAGGTATCATTAAAAACTGAAATGTGTTTTCCTTCTAGATATTTTGCTGAACGTGACGCTGCCGCAGCTCAGCAGATTCTCTCTGACTCCCTTCAACCAAAATACAGGTAATGGTGTTTAGCACTGAAGCTGTAAAAAGTCTCATCTAATAAATAAATCATTCTGGTAACGAATTTGCATACCTTTTACTGTCCATGTATTGTTGTGAGCCAGTGTGGTGTAGTGGTTAAGAGTGCGGGACTGGGACTCAGGAGATCTGGGTCATGGAGCTCACTGAGTGACTTTGGGCCAGGCACAGAATCTCAGCCCAGCCTACCTTCCAAGGTTGTTGTTGGATAAGATTGTATAGACTGCCTTGAATTCCTTGAAAGGAAAAAAAAGCTGAGATGTAAATATAATTCATTAATAAGATCCCGTGTCTGTTTCTTAGATTGGAGAGCATGGAGACCGCACATTCTGCACATTTATTTTACTTGTTAATACATTGACTTTAATCCATGTGTATATTGATTTTAAAATTTATTTTTTCTTTCTTTTTCTCATCTTTCACATTGAAGGGAAGTCACTAAAGAGGAGTTAAGGTATTTTTTTTCTTTTGCATTTTATTCACTTTGAAACCAGGCTTTGTAGCAGACTTAGGCTGTATTCTAGGAGAAGGGGAAGAGCAAATACAAAGAGGTCCCCCCAAAGAAGGGGCGGGTTGTGACCTTTTCTTGCAATCAGATCTGTGTGTGAGGAATGACTGCATCTTCCCCATTCAGAGAAGAGCAGCATAAAAAAGATGCTCCACAAGGAAAAGTTGGAGGAACTTGGGATGATTATCCTGAAGAAAGAAGGTGAGAGCAAAAGCCATGATAAAGTCCTTAAGCATAGGACATAGAAGAGAAGAGGGCAAAGCCATGTTCTCTGCTGGCTCTGAGGGTAAGACTAGATCTAACAGGAGGATAGATTTAGGTTGACCATTAGGAGAAACTTCTTAAAAGTCAGAGCAGTTTAGGACCAAGAACTATGGAGTGGGCTTCTTGGTCCCTTGGATGACTCTGAGCAGAGAATGTTCCATGGAAGCTCCTCACTTCAGTGTCAGCAGGGCTATGTATTGACTCTGGATTTTACTCTGAACTTTCAAGGAATGATTCAGCACCATGGACACCCCCTTTAAAGTTCAGGCTAAAATTTGGCAAGGATACCCAACTGACATTGGGCCGCCCGCCTTCCCTGGAACTACGTTTTCTTCACCGAGCAGAGAGTTAGGTTGGGTGGCATATTAGCCCCCCTTTGACTCCACAATTCAACTGGCCTCACCCATCTTTGAGTGTGTATCTGCTCGTGCATCTTTCCCCTCCCACCTGATGCCTTCACAGATCTTCTTTCAAGGAAAGATGGTACCCCGCTGCATGAAGCAGAGAGCTACATTCCTCCTGCTTTCTCCAGAGTATCCTAGCTTGTCATTTCAGAGAAGCTAGTGGATCAGCTTGCCTCTTCTTTTGGAGGAGCATGCCAGAATCAGTGCATTGAGATCAGATTTTCTGGGGGACATTGAGCCATTAGCTCCCTTCTTAGCTCAGTCTTACCCAGCGTAGTAACCTTCAGATGATTTGGACCACCAATCCAAGCAGTCCTGGCCATTGGCCATGTTGGTCTGGGCTAATGTCAGTTGGAGTCCAAAACAGTTGGAAGGCACAAGGCTGGGGAATGCAGTTTCAGCCTATCTGGCAGGCATCTTCCTCCCACCCTCCTCTCCCAGTGATTCCTTCCAGCCAGCACATCTGGCCAAGGCGGCAGAGAACACTTTAGCCAAGCATCATTAAATTCAGTCTTCCCAAATCCTAGTGCCATCCACAGGTGGATGAGAATGGGAATGGGACAAGCATGAGAATGGGAATGATGGGAGTTGACAGTCCAACACATCTGAAGGGTACCCAGTTGAATGCATATGGCAATCATGTCATGGGTGGAGGCAGCTGGAGGTGGGGGTCAGACTAGATGGCTCAGGAGACCCCTTCTGACTCACTCTGTTTCTATGTTTCTAAATTCTTGGAATTAGAGAGCCGGAGTAGATAGGAGAGTTTAGCAGCTTAGGAGATTATGGATACCACTTGCACCCCCTTGTTTTCAAGCTAGAGGAATCCTTTTTAAGTGTCCTTCACATTTAGCTGATAAAATTTAGTACCAACTGCCAATTTATAATTGTTTTGCTCCTTTTCCACATTATAAGCATTTTTGGGTGCATTTCAAAACTAGCAAGCTGCATCATATGGCAAATATTGCAAACTACCCACATTTCACTGTGTGTGATGGTTCAGGAAGTGTGAATTTGGTGCATCTGAGCAAATTCCTCACCCATCCCTTGTACTGAAGCTCTAAACCAGAATCACAGACTATGTGGCTAACCCCTTTACCCTCCTGCCATAACAAGCCCTTATTTATTAGATCATTAACAGAAATGCTTTCTTGCTCCCAGAGATAATTTCTTGGCAGATGGTTATCCTGAAGTGCAACCGCTACATTTCACCACATGATGCATATAAGTGTGCTAGGTCACATTATGTATGTGGCAGTGCCTTGGAGAAATTAAACAAATGCGGCATCAAAACGTATTTAGCCATATCACTTTTGCTTCCTTACAGGTTGCAGCATCTCATCCTGTTTTAACCTTCTGGTGTCATGTGTAATAAACGGCATCTGTTCCCCCTAAAATCTCTTCTTGGCAGAAATATCCACTTAAAGATTAAAATATGTGATTATGAGCCTTTTGGCCCTTGGTGATTAGGTTCTAGAATTCAGAGTTGTGTATATTACTGTTTTCAGCAGCCGTATGGACAGAACCTAATTCTATTTTGTGAATGGTCAAGTTGTAAATCAAATCATCCTGTCATCCTTTCGCTGCTTGTCTTAAAAATACTTTGGGTGTTGTGTTATGACTGTGTGTGCAGTTTTTCATTTAAAAGCATCCAGCAGTGACAGAAATAATTCTAGAGATATACATCTTCTACAGTGTATATTTGTTATTAAAATTCTGGTGGTAATGATATGAAATTAATGTATTAATATTTAAAGCTGGGTGGGCATTAATTATTGTTGGCAAGAGGGATTTCTGCTGCTTTCTGGTATTTATGAAAAATCAGGAGAACTTATCATTGTTGCAGCAGCACCAAACAATAAAAAACAATTTTTCAAGGATGTGCATTAGCCAAAATGATGGGAACAACTGTTTCTTTATAGATATATAAGGGCTATAACCTATAAACTGAACGTGTATTTAAATAATATAACCTGAGAGCCACTATGGTGTAGTGGTTAAGAGCATGGGACTGGGACTCAGGCAGTCTGGGTTCTAGTCCCCGCTCAGCCATGGAGCCAACAGGGTGACTTTGGGCAAGTCACAGACTTTCAGCCCAGCCTACCTCACAGGGTTGTTGTGTGGGGATAAGACTGCAAGCAGGAAGAAAAGAATGATAGAAGCTTCTTTGAGTTCTTTAAAAAAAGACAGAGCTAGGATAGAAATCTAATTAATAAATAACCCAAAAAATAAAATAATATGACTTTGGGTCAGGCACTTACTCTCAGCCTAACCTACTTACAGGTTGTTGTTTGAAGATTAAGTGGAACTGTGTAAGGAGCCTTGGGTTCCTCACAAGAGGAATAAAGGCAGGATATAATTTCAGTGTGATGATGAGTATTCTTTATATACCATAAAAATAGCACGCCTTAGATTATTTTAAGACATAGGCTGTGGCATACCTTTTGGTAAGAGCTGAGGTACCATTCAGGCTCCAGTACAAGGAGATCAAGGCAGTGAGTTCATGGAACACTGAGCTGGGCTCCAGTCCTGCTGTGCTGAAGGGGGGATAGGAAACAGGGCCACCTACAGAGACAGTCATGGGTCTCCCACATATGCAAGGAGACCCCTTGCTATGCAGAAAAAAGGCAGAGACAGATGCATGAGTTCAGGCCTGGGCGCTGCTGGTGCCTTGCATCAGAGATTAGGATAGGTCAGCAATCACAGGAGTAGGTAGATTGTTGTGAGCTGCCCCGAGGCTTCGGCGAATGGGGCGGCATAAAAATGTTTTAATAAATAAATAAAATAAATAGGTCAGCACATGATGGAATGTTCCCAGTAAGGTTGGAAAGCAGACCAGGTGGTCTGTATTCATTGATTTGTAGACTGGTTGGCCTGCCTTCGTGCTGATTAAGATTTTGTCTCTTAGAAAGGACTGGCCTGTTTCAGACTGCAAAGATGTAAGAGTGGTTCTAGCATGCTAGTCTTGTCCTGACTGAAGTCTTCAGACTTCGATGACAGTAACACAAGAAAATTGAACTGGGTTCCAGTGTGATGGAATCCCCTTGTGGCCTTTCTGTAAACAAGTCCTCCGCAAGAACTAGATCTTTTCCTTTGAAGACAAGGGGAGGGAATCCTCTGTGTGCAAGGGCTCACGATCCTAGTCCATGACCCAAGAAGAAGGAAAATGGACACATTAAACAACTTCGCCATGGCTGAGAATGCTGAGTGGTTTCTAGGCACCATGGAATGTTTGAGGGTGTTGGATGGAGAGAGAGAAAGGACCTGCTTAAAATACAGTTAAAAAGTAATGAAAAATAATTTAAATCATTTGAAAAACTCATAAACAGCTACCAAGCAAAGGCTTATACCTTGGAGATAGGCCAAGATCCAGATGTGATATTTAAATAGATTTAAACCCAGCATTATTTTGTGTGGGAATTACACATCTCTACAGTTGTGTGGTATTAGTTTCCCTGAAGACTTTTCTGTTGGCTGATGTCCTCTACTTTTAGTTTTTGAAGCAGAAGTGAGCATCTTAAAAACAAAATGAAGGTCTTTTTTGCATCTTGTTTTTCCTCAAAAAATGTAAATAGCTAACAAAGCCTGCATTAAGGAGAGCATCAAAATCAGCGGAAATGGCCTCTGTAGTTGTCAGTTCTCTCCAAAACCGTTGGTTTCATTAACTAATTTAAAAGGAAATTTCAAAAAGCCTTAAGTATTCTACCAAGTATATGTGACGTATTTCATAATTTACAAACATCAATAAGATTCATCTTACCCAGGCAAAACACCTTTTCAGAATGTAGGGGAAGTGGCTAAACAAGCCAGGAACTCTCGGTCCCTGGTTTGGTTAGAATGCCATCTAAACCAGGAACTCTAGCTTGTCTCTCCCACAACAAGCCAGTCCTTGCTTATGACTCCAGCTTGGCAGGGAAACAAACCAGAATTCCCAGTTTGCATATTACACTGACCAAACCAAGGAACAAAGAGTCCTTGGCTTGTTCAGCCATACATAGAATCATGGAATAGTAGAGTTGGAAGTGGCCATGAAGGCCATCGGGTCCAACCTCCCCTATCGCAGAAGGAACCAGTTGGGAACAATTGAGTCATGTCACTCAAGTAAGCCATATTTTTAAAAGAATTCAGGTTTACTGTGACATCCAAATGTTGCCATAGAGGACAAATTTGGCATTTGTAGGCCTAACTCTTCTTCATTTTAAGCAGGTTAAAAATAGAAAAACCGCTTCAGAATCTGATATGGACCATCAGCTTCATTGACTACTTTAAATACATATTTAAAGGCCTTACTGTTTCAAGTAAATGTAACGAAGTGTGAAATTGTTTGTAATTTTAAAAAATACTAATACAATAATAAATTAGCTCCTTTTTTATGATGCAAAGGTCAGTTCAGTCAGTGTGTGTGTGTATGTGTGTGAAGAAGGGTGGGTTTTAAGCTCTGTGCATAGTTAGGAACAAGTAACGGCTCTGTTGAATAAACTGAGGCCCAGTTTTGCATGTTTTGCCAGCATCAGCATCACATGCCCTGTGGAGGGTAGGACAGAGCCTCCAGCTTATGTTCTCTTTCATTACCGTCACGCCCCAACTACAACCAGATCCCTTTTTTCAGAAGAGATGGATCAAATAGAGCTCTAATACAATTTTTTTAAACCTGATGTCTATTGGGTTGGCTGTGCTACCTGAGGATTATGGGTACAGTAGTCTAGCACATCAAGAGGGCACTAGATTCTGGAGTGTATTAGAGCATTCAGATGACATAGATTACATACGGTTGGGAAGACCCTTGGGCCAAGTCTCATGTTTTGCTTTGCTTTGCATGTGGCATTCATGCCTAGCCGTGTGTGAACTGGCTCCCTGATGCATGGTAAGTTTGGATATGATGAAGGCAACCCACTTCCCTATCATCGTCTCACTCCAATAACAGTGTTAGTTCCTCAGGCTTGTTTCCAGTGATTTATGTCACATCTGTCTTATAGAATATCAGGGGCAAGAGTCAGCCTTACTCAGAGCTGGACAAAAAATAGCACTTTCCATGGATTCTTCTTCTGTTTTCACCAGTGACACAGAATTGCTCTATCCTCCTACTATGCTTTTTAAGGCTGCACAGAGAATAAATTGCCTTTGACGGAGAGAATACCTAAGTCACTATACATTTTTAGATTGCATTGATGAGAAAGCTACAGTGATAGTCGTATATGGCAAGTGACTTGAACTAGATTCAGGGTTTGTGTCCCTGCTGGGGTTTAAAAGAATGCAAAATTCTAATCACTCAAGTCAGTGTAAAAGGCAACCAAGCCAATCAACTTTTTTCTGGGGAATGGTTATTAAGCAGAAAGAATCCATTTTGCACTTGTACAGCTACATCTGATGAATTCATTTATTTCCAGCAAATTCAGCAAGGCAGAATGGGAGAAGAAAAAGTATGATAAAGCCATTGGGTAAGTTTAAAATTCCAAAATAGTAATATAATCATGATGTTGAACTTTTTTGTTGATGTTGATCATTCTGTTTGCTTAGAACTAGGAAATCTGTTGATTTCCGTCTCTAATATTTCTCATCTTAAATTCAGTTATCTATTGTGAGAATAAGACCAGGCTTAAGTTTGCTGTCTCTCAAGGTAACATAAAAAACCTAAGGATTTTTGTACACATTCCCCCTAGTGCTGCAATGGCAAACCTTTTATAGATCAAGTGCCCAAACTTGCAACCCAAAACCCACTTATTTATGGCAAAGTGCCAACACTGTAATAAAACCTGAATACTGAGGTTTTAGTTTAGAAAAAACAACTCCCAGGCAGTCCAAGCAAAAATAAACAAACAAACAAATAAATAAATCTCCCCCCCCCCCCGTTTGGCAGTGCACTGACCGGCCATGCGAAAGCAAGGACGTGTCGTGGCTAATGAGTCACAGCTCGTGACATCATCGCCCAGTGCCACTACTCCTTTCGGAGCATGCACATGGCCCCTGTGTGCGCTGTTATCCGATGCTCGGCTGCCGGGGTGATGCTGGGGTGACTTGGCTTGCGTGCCGACAGAGAGGGCTCTGTGTGCCCATGTGCCACATGGGCCATAGTTCACCACCACTGCCCTAGTGCATGTCGTAGGATGCACCACACTTCCCATAGATTGTGACTGTTTGCCTTGTGAATATTTCAGGTTTCAGCCTTTTAATTCTTAGGGTCTCCTCTAGCTACAGCCAGGAGAACAAGCATTTGTGCTGGTGCACCTTAGGGGTGAGTAGCCAGTCCCACTAGTAGTGACTACCAATTCTATGAAGCTCCATGCTGTCATCAGCTAGTCTGAACATGGAATTGGAGGAACAGTTGAAAGAATGTCTATGCATAATAGTTGAGTAATTTTGCAAAAATCCTGCGTAGCGTTACCTTGCTCTGAATCTGGGGGTCATTGTATGTGGTTGGTGGCTGCGCCACTGATGGATCTCCTTATGCCTGCTTTCCTAAGAGAGGACAGTAGACCACCAGCTTTGCATGCATGATGTTGCAAGGTTGACCTCTAGCATCTCAAGGGAACATCCTGCCCAAAACCCTAGAGAGTCACTGCCAGTCAACACTGACAATACCACAAGAATCCAGTGTTAGCTCTGTGTAGAGTAGACCCCCTGAAATGCATGAGATTTAAGGAGGTTAAGGCTACCTTAACTATCATTTATTTCATAGAATCGTAGAATAGTAGAGTTGGAAGAGGACAATGAAGCCATTGTGTCCAACTGCCTGCTTAATGCAGGACTCCAGGTCAAAGCATCACCCTCAGATGGCTGTCCAGCTGCATCTTGAATGCCTCTAGTGTGGCAGAGTCCATGACCTCTCTAGGCAATTGGCTTTGTTGTCAGGAAGTTCTTCCTGATATCCAGCCCTAATCCGTAGTTTTAGAACTTGAGCCCATTATGCCTCGTCCTGCGCTCTGGGTTGTTTAAGAAGAGATCCTGACGGTCCTCTGGGTGACAGCCTTTTAAGTCTTGAAGGCTGCTTTCATATCTCCCCTCAGCCTCAGCCTTCTCTTCGCACACTCAGTTCTTTCAGTCTTTCCTCATAAGGCTTTGTTTCCAGTCCCCTGATCATCTTGGTTGCCCTCCTCTCAACTGTTTCCAGTTTGTCTGCATCTTTCTTAAATACCAGTGTTCAAAGCTACTTTCACTGGGTCTCCTCTAAGCAGAGCTAACAGTGGATACTAGCTACTGAGCTAGATGGACCAGTAAGGCAGCTCCCTGTGAAATCATGTTGAAAGGACTGGCTGGAAAGTTTCAGCTGCTGTCTGTTGGTTGAGTGCAGTTCTCCTGGAAATTGCCAGTGGAAGGTTTGTCTTCAGGGGACAGGAGGATGTTAAGGGAAGGATAATAAATAAATAAATGCCCAGGGGGCATGCTGTAAGAGTCCTGTTGCATTACTTTCTTCCCAAAGGTGTAATGGCCTTGATATAAATAATGTCTCTTTCCTGCCATTGTCGGCCCCTGTTCCCCACTCATTCTGGTTCCTCCCCTCCCTCAAAATATGGGTCTGTTTTTATCAAAGAAGTATTTTTGTCATGGAAGGACACATTCTCATGGAATCTTTCATCAGTGATGGATTGCTGTTCAGAAGACCTGAAAGAGAGCCATGTGCAGAATCAGACCTTCATTATTCTAACTACCACGTGTAAGGCTTGCTCTACAATCAGCTGGAACCCCAGACAAATGCAATGCTTGGCACCCTGGAGTAATTCACTCCTAGTTTACCCCTTTTACACCTGCGCTCTTTGTTATTGCCTATGATGAAAAACACACACACTGATTTATATCCATGGATGCCACTGTGATGGAACTGGAAGGAGCTTTTCCCAAGACTTGGCAGATTCTCATATAGCTATAAATGAAACAAGCAGCAATTAGGCTTTTAAAACAATGAATGCGCTGTGTCAGCATTGCTTTTAGCAGCAGGCCCTGCTGTATATTTCCTAGATGTGACTCTTCAGTCCTCTTTGTCTTTTATTATTTCTTTGACATGTCTCTTTCAGATACTCTTTTGCTATTGTTGGCATTAACATAACAGACCTTGCATATAACCTGCTTATTAGCGGTGCTCTGAAGACACACTTCTACAACGTCGCCCCAGAAGCACCAACATTATCCCATTTCCAGCAGACCTTCTGTAAGTAGAGAGGCGGGAAGAGAGAAGAAAAATTATTTTATGTGTTTTTTGCTAGTAATGTTTTCCCTTAACATCACTGCAGATGATCAGTTATAAAAACATATGTTTCATTGATTTATCACACTCTTAAATTAGATACTTGACTTGGGATGACCAACATTCAGCAAAAATTATATAGCTGAATCTGCTCTACAGGAAAACTAATAATCTCAAGCAGAAGAAACGCATTTCCTTTTTCCACTGTAAATGTTGATTGTCTCCAAACCACCATAAAGTAATTGGAACCTGAGATCTACCAGCAAACAACTATATTCTTTGCAATACTATTTTATTTTCTTATGCTTATTAATTTTGTTTTCTGTTAGACTTTTTGAAAATCAAGTCTTTGTTGGTTGTAAGAGTCCTGTGATCAACTCCTGTACTCATATTAGCCCTCAAAATTACCTGAACAAATCTGGAGTCCTTAAGAGGACTAAATATCTTCCAGTTTCAGCCTTGGTCTTGGGCAGAGATCAATGCTTTTGCTGCACGCTCCAACTCAATAAATCTGTCTCCATAGCACTATAGCCTCTATCAACCCCTAGAAAAAACAAAGTTTCCTTAGTCCTGGTCCATCTCTACTGCATGAACTTCCAACTCCTGCTTTTCCCTGCTCTTCCCCTATCTTTCTCTCCCCCACACTGCTTCTATAACAGCCCCTCTGACTTGCTACTCATCTCTGCTGTCCTGCAGTTCCCACTTTTCACATGCCATAATTATGTTAAGGTGGAGCAACATCAGAAGCTAGCCCGGCTGGTCTCCATCCTCACACAGTCCCTTACAAATGCATTGATCCCAGCTTTCCTGTGAAATGACATCAGTGTACAGGCCGTCCCTCAGTTACGAACGAGTTCTGTTCCTGAGAAAATGGACATTTGTCTTTAAGTTGGATTGCATATAGTCAGCCCTCTACATTTGTGATGTTCAGAGACACAGGACCCCATGAAAATGGAAGCACTGAGAATCTCTCTAGCGCCCCCCCCCACCCAAATTCTCCAGCACCTCCTCTTTTCAGCAAGGAAAGATCAGAGCGACTTCCCTCTCCAGATGGATGAGGCAGGAAGGCGCACTTTGCAAGCCTCCCTCTCTGCCCTTTCACTTCTTCTCTCTTTGGAGGCCCTCCTCTTCCCTTCTGCTTCCTCTCTATGGTGATACATTGGAGGCCTTCCCTCTCTCTCTTTTCGCTTCCCCTTTCTCTATGGTATTATTAATTATTTTACATTAATAGGCTTTATGGCAGTTCATAAGTTGTTCATAACTTGGATGTTCATAACTCAGAGACTGCCCTTATATAAAGTTGTTCTTGCTGTTTCAGACAACTAAAAACCATTTTATGTCCTGATGGCTCAAGGTTGCTTCCATACATTACTTTTTTCATACACACACACACACACATATGACACCTCCACCCAACCCCTGATCCCATTACCCTTCCCATATGCCTGTGTCTGAAACAGGCAAAGAACCCAACTCCTGAAGAGCCACAGAAGCTTAGGAAAACTATTCTTAAGTATACACCCAGGAATTAAAGGAGCCAGAGCCCAGCTTAAAATATAACCCCTGTTTAGGAGGAAAATACCCCAAAGTGTCCATTTCTACAACTTTTAGGAGCCTACAATATAAAAACACAGCTATTTCAGACCATGCATGTTATCAAGTATGATCTACGTGATCTTTTTAAATGTGTTGCTATAAAAGATAACTTGGTGCTCATTGCAGTGCAGTTGCATATACAAGGTATCAGTTGCCTGAAAAGAAAACCCCCAGGGAATTATTATGGTGCTGAGCCCAAAGTTCCCATGAGAGAACTTTCCAGATTGAGTTTTGGCAACAGCTGAGGCAGGGGAGGGACACTTTCCCCTCACAGGAATGTGGGATGGAGGTACAGTGTTATCTTGGCTCACGAACTTAATCCATTCCAGGACTCTGGTCATGACCCAAACTGGTCGTGAGCCAAGTTAATTTTCCCCATAAAGTTCAATGTAAATAAGGTTAATCCGTTCTGTAACTATTTTTTTAATCAGAAAAATGTGAAGCATAGTCACAAAGAACAACAAAGATCGCAGTCATCTCCCCCCCACCACCCCCAGCACAAGTGCGATCGTGTCCATCATCCCTGCACGCGCCCGTGATCCCAGTGCACTGGGGGGAGAGATGGGCACAATCACAGGCGCACTGGGAGGGGGGGAGAGACAGGCGCAAATGCAGGCATGCTCAGGGGGGAGGCGGGCACGATTGTGCTGGCGGGCATGGCCGAGATCGCGGTTACATTCGTGCAGGAAAGACGGGCGCAATCACAGGCACGCTCGTGTGGGAAAGATGGGCACAATCTCTCCCGTGCTCCCAGCATGATTGTGGCCATCTCCCCACTCGCGGGGGTGGAGAGATGGCCACAATCACGGTCGCCACCCAATGTGGAGTTCGCAACCTGAGTCAAAATTTTTATGCAATTTCTGTTCGCGACCCGATTTGGTCATAAGCTGAGGTGTTCGTGAGCTGAGGTACCACTGTAAATGGAACTTGTGGCTGTGAGCATAGAAAGTGCCACTGGTGTGTTGTGCCCCCCATACACACGCCTTCCCCCAACAAAAAGTTGCTCTCTCTCCCATTTCACCACCTGTATTTACGGTGGTGATACTGGGCTATTTCCAGCTTTCTACACACTTCTTAAAGGAGGTTAGCACCATGCAGGAAAACGGCACGTGTGAAGTGGCCCTCAGTTTCCATACACAAGTTTTCTATATTTTTAAATGTTTAATTCCTTTGTAAATCTTACAAAGTTCTTTTGCCCACGAGATGCACTGGACTAATAATTTCCTGAAAGCACAACCATTGGACATGTTGACTAGGAATCACTGGAGCTGTAGTCTGACGCATCTTGAGAGTACCAAGTTGGAAAATTTTCTCAAAAACTCTTTGGGGGTAACAGTGCAGCTTTTGGCAAGGGACAGCTTGGGTGTTGATCTGCTCACACCAGACCTCACCCACCAGAGAGTGCTTTCCATTTGTACAGCCAAGAAATGCTCTTCTTGATGCAATGCCCCCTACAAGTTCCCCCAGCTTGTTCCATTCTGCGCACTTTCTGTAAGGATCTGGGCCTCACTGCTCATATAAAAACTAGGCTAAGACAGGCAGCAGGTCTGAGGACATCTCTCCTCCACCCCTGCCATAATTGCCACAGTGCCATTGATTATGTTGCTAAAATCTTGGCAATGCAGCAGTGGCAAAGGGTCTGAACCTTTCTTTAAGGCAAGTATATGGGATCGGGAAGCACACGCCTCTTTTAAAAGGAAGATCGTTCCTGTTTTGCCAAATTAGGGTGGCAGCAGTGGGGGCTGCGGAATGGTTGAGGGGGCACATGTGACTGGGTGAGATTGAATTATTTGACTAGTAGCCCAGGCTGTTGATGGGCTAAGAAGGATCATCTGAACTGGTACTCTAACACTTTGAGTTGAGTGACTCTCTTCTCTTAGGCTATTTGATGCACGAATTTCATAAATTTTGGATTGAAGAGGATCCCCTGGACATCATGGAATTTAACCGTGTGCGAGAGAAGTTCCACAAGCAAATCCTCAAACAGCTCCAGAATCCAGATATGGCCCTGTGCCCACACTTCGCTGCCTCAGAAAACCTGATCAACCTGTAATCGTCAACTTCGTTTGATTTGAACACACTGCCTCATTCTTGTGTTACGCCACCATCTAGAGATAAATCGCTAATGTATTGAATGACCATAGCGATGATATGCATGCCTCTTGGTGCAGTATTCATCTCTCTCTCTCTCTCTCTCCCTCTCTCCCCCCCCTTCTCTCCCTCTCCCCCCCCACTCCTCCTCCCCCTCCCCCTCTCCTTCTACCTTTCTCTCTTTCTCTTTCTGGCATCTCCTCATACTTCTTCTTTTGAGGGGTTTGTCATAAAAATGGAGAGCTCATATTGCAGCCTTTTGCAGTGTTAAGACATTCTGGATTGATGTCCTGTATGATGTTTTTTCTATTTTTTAAGACCCTTATGCACCCACCCTGCTGCTGCCTTTCCACCACATAGTCCAGCATCTAATCATTAAATTAAAGAATTGTATTTCTCTACCTGTGGGGGGTCTTTTTTGTATATGTGGAATATTTGAGTTGAAAAACTTGTATTGTGGAAGAATTTTAACTTGTTCTGTTTTATGGCAACTAATTTAAAAAAAAATAAAATGGGCATAATCCAGATGAAATGAAACAGGTCCCATTACTTTGAATGGCATGTGCTGAAATTTAGCGTAGAGAAACCAGTGGGACTGAAAGAAGTTCACTTTGGCTGGATTATGCTTTGCATTTGTATATTACTTAGAAGACTGTGTATGTGACTTGAGCGTAATGCAGAAAGGATACATTAAAAGTCAACTTTTTTTCTTCATGCAACTATTCAGGCTTCCTGAAAAATAATTAGTAAAGTTATGAGACAAATGTGGGAGTCATTTTAACATGCACTGAATTTATAATCAGACTAAGCTGATAGAATGGAAGCATGGGTGTTGCACAAGTCTGAGAATACTGACTGCATTGAAAAGCAAAGGTCAAATAATGCAGTGTTCAGGAAACAAACCTCTGAAGACGGATTTTCTCTGGAGTTCACATTTGAATACAGCCACTGTATTCATACAGTCATGGCTAAACTGAATCACACTGCTTTAAAAATGCAGAGTTATTTTTCCCCCGCATGTCCGAATGCAAAATGAATTGCTTTCTTGTGTGTGTATATATGCTTGACTGCTTTAGGGGAGCAAAACCAACCAGAAATATATTTCTTCATTTTTGAAGTATTGAATTTTGGATTTGGGTTGTCACCTCCGTTCCTAACAGCTAAGAGGAATTCCTAAACAAGGTGGAAAGGAAGCAAAGTACTTTGGTTGTTAAGCATAGGACAAAGAGATATTTTAAAGAAGAAGAAGAAACAAACCTGCACATTCTGTGTGGAACATTCTTGTGCAAACCCCTTTGAAATGATCAGGAAATGCACATTTATGTGGCAGTGCTGATGCACACATTTCATTTTTTGGAAAAATGGGCTTGCAGAAGAGCAGTTCCTAGAATTTCCAATACCAGAGAATCTCTGTGTAGTCTATATCTGACTGTACTTACCATGGCATTTCATACCCATGGTATTTTTTTAACTTCTGACAATTAATAGGTAGTTTGTGAAACTGCTTGCATAGCAAGATTGAATTTGAGGTACTGCTTAATTATATGTGGATTATATGAATAAATTCCATCACTCCAAACAGGAATCTGTGTGTGACTCATACCTAAAATACCTATATTGATGGTGTGTTTTGCTGCTCAGGTATATTCAGAAAGGCCTTTGGGACAGGCAGATTGAGGCCAAGTAGTTATTCAGTTAATAATTTTTGATATTGTCCAATAGCCAAAACTTTCAGTAGTTTACAAATATTAAGCCTCCACAATACAGTATGATAAAATATCATTCAAAAGCTTTAAACGTTTAAAATAGAATAAAACCAGAGTAAAAAGCATAGGTTTTTTAAATAATGTGCATTAATTTTCAATCTAAAATACAATAATGACTCACCGGCCTGCGCACCCAGGCCCCCTTCCTCACCAGCCCATTACGGTCGCTGCTGCCTTTCAACTGGTCCCCTATTGAAAAAGTTTGAGGACCCCTGCTGTAAAGCAATCGTTTTCATAAGGGACATCTCCTTCAGGATATAGGCCATTCATGATAACCAAGCATCCTTCAGAACTAAAATTGCTTGCTAACCTCAACAAAGCAGGATCTGCTAAGAATATAAGAAGAGCCATGTGGTTCAGACAAAGGTCCACGTACTACAAAAAGTGGCCAACCAGCTGCCCATGAGCAACTCACAAGCAGAATATGGAGTGCAACGGTGCTATCCTAACCTTATCCCCAACACCTGGTGTACATACTCATACTGCCTCTCACAGAGGCTGTAGTAGCCCTTGATAGCTCGATCTTTCATGAATTTGTCCCATTCCCTTTTAAAGCCATCCAAAGGAGTAGCCATCATAAGATCTTGTGGAATTGCTTCTATGCACAGTGTGAATGAGTGACTGTTTATCCCTCCTGGATCTCCCACCAACCAACTTCATGGGATGTCCCCTTTGGGGTTTAGTATTAAGAGAGAGGGAGAAAAAATGCTTCCCTATCCACTTTCTCCACACCATACATAAGCTTCTCCACCTGTCATGTTGTGACAGAACGCCAGCAGGGATCCCCCACTCCCAGAAAATCCCTGGTCTCAGAACCCTGGACCAGCCACTGGATTCAGCAAACAACAAAACCAAGATTAAAATATAGGGTGGAGAGACTAAAACACAGACTCTAAAAAGGATAAAATAGGGAAGAGGGGGAAGGGAGGAGGAAATGTGAATTCGACAGCAGCCACAGGAAAAGTTACAGCCAATCAAGAACCCACTCAGGGCCATGTTGGCTCACTTGGACAACAGAACAACAAACAGCTTCTATCCTAGCCTATACATAGTAACTCTAACTTCTCACTGCACAGAATATGCGTGATGCCACAGCACTCTTCAGCCCAGAGAATCAGCAGCAAAATGGAACCTCCCAAAAGAAGAACAAAAGGCTGCTCTCTTCTTCAAGTTTTATTCCCTGCAGCCTAGGTCAGCTGACCAGTGGGGTGATAGCCCATCTCCCAGTCCCTGGGACCAGCCATTTACTCCAGGTGCAAGTCGGTAGGCATTGCTGTTATCTCCAGCATCCTTGAGGCCAACTCCAAAAGTTCTCACCTCCTTAACACACAAAGGAAGGACGATGTCTCCCAAAGGCCTTGGGCACAAGATCCCCACTAGGATGGTACCTGGTATTTCCAGCATTTTGTCAGTTCCAAGATGAACCTTTCCCCAGCTTTCTGGAAAAGTGGTTCATGTTGTACATGTCTCTGTGTTTCTTTCCTTGTTCTAAACTAAAATGCCCCAAGTGATGTAACCTTCTTCATAAGGGAACTGGTGTATTGGGTGGTATCTCCCCAGGGGTCCTGGAACAGATTGGCAAGGTCACTTCCAATTAGTTGTACCCCCAAGGTATTAGGAACCCCTTCTCCCTGCTCATTCAACAACTGTTTGGTGGTGCCTATATGGGAGAAAAGAGAAGCTGGGAGAGGTTAACCTGGAAATTATACTGGGTGTTGGTGGCTAGTAATGGACTTCTGTAGATCTTGGCCTGTTTGTCCACCTTGTACCCTGTCTTTCCTTGTATCTTCCTCTGTCTACCCACTGGATCACCTCGATTAGCCCCTTTCTGTGACTGAGTTTCCACCTTCAGAGAGGCAGCAAGAATGGTAGCTTCCACTCTGACTGTAAGGGAGGGAGGTTGGAGTGCACATTTTGGTGAAGGTATTGGTGGATTTGGACTTGCAGGTTGCAAAAAGCTTAAACAGGCCCATCTTTGAGTCCTGGAAAGTGTTATCCTTCATTAGTTCTTGCCAAAGCTGGAGGGAGCTTCTAAGATTAATGAGAGAAACTTTGGCCTTCAAGGGCTCCCCTCTCCTGTTCTAACAAACCCTGATCCCCAACTCCAGTCTCTGAGCTCCAGTCTCCTTTCTTTCCTCTCTGAACTGCCCCAGCTGAACAGCCAAAGACAGCTTTCCAAGACAGATGGATCTAGGATGCATGAGCCTCCCATTTGGATCGTGCCCTGATTTATTCTTCTAATCTGTGTGATTGAGCTTTCCGACCCAGTGGTGGGAATTTTCTCTGCCTACATGCTCTAGTTACTCAGTACACCACCAAGGCATTTGATATGAGCCCTGGCAGGAGACTTGAATAATCTTCAGCTTCATTGCAACAGCTTCCCCCAACCTGCTGTCATCCAGATGTTTTGGACTGCAATTCCCATCAGCCCCAGGCAGGAAAGCTGGGAATTATGTACAGCATCTGGAAGACACCAGCTGAAAGTTGCTCCTGGAAATAAAACTGAGCTAACAGACAAATGTTATAAGGTAGGGGTTTTTTCCCCAAAGAACACAAATTTCTGGCCCTTGAGGACTTCCACATTTCTGGTCTTAGCTGTGTACCTAAAATGCTATGATGCAAAGTGACAGATTTGGGTGGCTTCCAGGTACACTTACCAGAATGCATGGATGGGCTGGAGTTCCCACTTGAGTCCATGCACTTTGCTACAGAGCTTCTGTTATAGCCTGAAGTGCCTGATCCTGCCTAATCTTAGAAGCTAAGCAGGATTAGGCCTGGTTGAAATCTGGATGGGTGACTTAAATTGTGAACTGCCCACAGAGCTTTCCCCCTGGGGGTATAGAATGTAATTTAATAATGTGTGAAATGATTGGCTTGGATTGTGCAGGCCAAGCCTCATCAAGGTTTTGTCATAGTGCTATGCTTTTTAGCTTCTTTGGTTCACTAGCAAGAACAACACAACTGCAAAACCACAGCACACACATGCACATGCAGATTACAACAGAAACTGCTCCCTTTTTTAGCAAGTTGGTTTCTGACTAATTATCCCCAAAATGTAATTTAAAACTGTATTTGGGTCAGAATGTTCAGTGGGAATTCTTACTAATGAGACCCAACGGCTATTATTTCCTATACTTGCTGAGCCGTTCACTACCTCTCTGCCACTTATTCCTAATAAAATAGCATGAATTATTAA